CATTGGTGTCAACGTGATTGGCCTACTCGTGATTATTTCACTATTGGGAAACAAAATGTTGTAGAAGAACCGCTTGCTGAGCCTGAGAAAATTTGTTTACCGCCGTTACACATCAAACTAGGACTGATTGCGAACTTTGTGAAAGCTTTGAATAAAAATGGTCAGGCTTTTACCTACTTAAAATAATTTTTCCCAAAGTTGAGCGAAGCCAAGATAAAAGTTGAAATTTTCGTGGGCCCTGAAATAAAAAAATTGATGGACAATGATGGCGAATTCAAGAAAGTTCTGAACGACATTGAGCGAGATACATGGGAGTCGATCAAAGATGTCTGCAAGAATTTTCTCGGAAGTTCCCGCCCTCCGGATTATCGAGATCGTGTAGCGAAGACGCTGAAGAATCTCAAGGCTATGGGATGCAACATGTCCCTCAAGATTTATTTCCTCTTTTCCCACCTGAATTCTTTCCCTGAGAGGTTAGTAGATGTGAGTGATGAGCATGAAGAGAGATTCCATCAGGACATCTCAGAACTAGAATGTCGATACAATGGAAAATCTCCATTGAAAATGCGACAAGAGCAGCAAGATGTCTCATTCCCTCAAGATCAGCAATTGCTTGCACAATGGGTTGCATAATTGAATTAATTGACTTTGAATTGTATCTGTTCAAACTGAGTGGATAACCCTCAAAATTTGACATTAGAAATCACACGTGGGTGGTGCAACTTCAGACCTTAGATCAATGATTCTTTTTGAGAGTTGTATGTAATTTTCAATGCCTATTTCCTGAATTTTTTGCAAATTATCCCGTGTTTCAATTACAGAAAACTGTCCGTCTATTTACAAATCTCGATTCCCTCATTTCTTCAAATGTTATTTCAGTCCAATTAGTGCACGCGTTATTTTTTTATTGAATTTAGAATTTAACAATTTTACGTCTTTTTGGAAACTTTAATTTTTTTTTCACCAAAACTAGGAGGCCTAGCGCAATTTTGTCGACGGATTCAGAATTTGCGGAATTTAATCTTTCTATCGCAGGCAATTTCATCTCTGGGCGAGCCAGGGTCGAAATTTCGTCGGACTGTGTAATCTATGTCAAATGTATTTCAATGGGGCGAGCTTGAACCGTCTTAATGATTGATAAGCATGAGGATTTTTGAATTTTATAATTATGATGAATCATTTATTTCAAAATTTAAGGATGCTTATCCATTCCCCGTCAATTGAGTATTTCCGTGTTCGAGGGTAATTCTATACAGTTTGTAAATCTGACAGAATGACCTAAGAAATCCACTTCCTTCATGATTGAAGACAACCCATCATTATATGTGAGTGATCAAGGAGTATCAAATTCACAATCGGCAACCCAGTCCCGATATTGTAAGAACCTGTAAATTTTCTGAATTCTCTATTGCATTGAATGAAAAACTAAAATTTCAATACATCATGAATTGATGGAAAGCAGGACTTAAAATTTTATTTTTATTTCACTTCATTTACCCCTGTAAATATAAAAATCTCAAGGAATTTTTGAGGTCCTTACAGTGTAAAATTGGAGGACCAGTAAATAAGGTTTTCACAGTTTTAATTCCTACATTAACATATTACATTGTTGTTATCCTACTTACGGCACATCCTTGTGAGATTTGAGACCAATTTCAACTTTTCACTCCTCTCGAAATCATAGCTATTCATAATTTTGTTCAATTCACGTGGTGTCGGTAATACCGCTAGGCTGCTGTGGGTAATAGCACTCAGCTGGACGCTAATAGCACTCAGTGTTCGTTAGCTCGTCAGTGCAAATACCGGTCATTGAATAAAATAATGAAAGTAAAACATTTTATTTTTTAGATAATGATTGTTGGTGTCATGAGAAAATAGACAAAAACAAAAACAAATGTTTTTGCAAAAAACTGCACCAAGAAAAAGTTTTGTCGGGTCGTTTCTGGAAAGAAGGAACATTTTTTTCTGGAAACCACAATTCCCATAGAAATTTTGCAAAAAATTAACAAATAAAAATCAAAGCCAAGTTAAGAAATGTCCAATGGATCATGGAATGTGCTATCAGATTATTATGGGGAGGATAACTCTGAATAGAAGGATTTTCAAAAAAATTTTCATAAAATAAAAAATTCAGTAAAGACAGGATTCAAAGTTCTTGGCACGGATCAGAAGATACAGATTGATACGAGACAATGAGTTGGAAAACTCCGCAGTGACTCCCGAAGACTATTTCAATTGTTTCACTTATTATTCCGTGTAAGATCAGTCTATTATAACAAACAATTTAAAACCCATAATTTTTCAAAGAATCGATGTTTCTTACCTTAAAATGTGCCTTAAATTGTCTCATGCTTTCGAACGAAATGTGTTTCGTTAAATTCTCATCGATATTTTTTCTCCCTTATTAAAAAAAATCCTCCTCCCCCCCCTCCCATGGATAGTTAACCTCCCCGACACCACTCCTGGATCCTGTCCCAATGGGTTTCCTCATCATTAGCCGTAAGCTTCGTTTTGTACAAGAAAAAGTTTGGAATTTCGCAATTCACGAAAAATCGATTTTTTTAAGTTTCAAATTGCGATTTAAAAAAAATCAAAACAGGTATTCTGTATTTTTTTCTACTTTTTCAAATGGAATTTATCCCATGTTATTTCCATCAAAAGTTTTTTTCTATGAGAAAAATGAATTTTCACAAGGGTAGTTGATCCTCCATATTTCACCCCCCGGAAACGGTTCTAATTCGCATTTTCATCATTCCTTATGACCTTCATGATACACTGCGAAAGAGTTGTTCAAAAAGCTTCCTTATGTGTGCAATCGAAAAATGACCCCGAGAGGTGGTCAACTTCAGAGAGCACTTTTACCCCCTAAAACCCAATGGGCAGCTAAAAAAAATACGTGTCCCTTAGTTTTGGGTCCCCTATAACATATTTAAGTTTCATCGAAATCGGAGGGGGACACCTGCGTAGTATTTCTTGTTAGTTCTTTAGAAATAACTCGAACCCATTTTAATAATTGACGGACAAATAATCTTAAAATTCAAAATACCATATGGGAAATATTAAATCTTAACTTTTAACGTTATTTATTGCAAGCCACATACATTCTTATAAATAGCTATTGCCCAAGGGCCTTCAGCCTGGAAATATTGCATTTTTGAATTAATTCCATTTTTCAATTTTGAGGGGTCCACATATTTATGTATTTCATTCGTTCATTTCACTTCAGACTCTATTTTTGTAATTTGATAGAGAATAGTTCTAGATCAGGTTGTAGCGTCAATGATACAAGTAGCAGTGTGGCGGAGATTGGAATCATGTCGAGCGCTATTACACAACGGGGGTAATAACGATCGATTGGGTGTCACTACAGTTTTTTATAAATTTTGTAAATTCTTATGGACTTCTCAATCCGGAAAACCTTACGACGGGTAAAATTCGACAGGAACCAAATGCCAATCAGGGCGCCAGTCCATTTGACCTCCAAAGAACAAGATCCAGCGTGTCCGAGCAAAATGTATTTCGCATAAAAAAAAGATTTCTCGATGATTCGATACAAAAAAAAATAATATTCAAATACTCATTATCTCCTCGGTGAGACTACAAACTTTCGAGAAAGTACTCGCGCACCAATGACTCGATATAAAGTAATGTTACAAGAAAGACAAAATAATAATCAATTTAATACTGGGACGTACAAAACGCAACGAACGCGAGGATCACCGGACGCAAACAACGTGAGAGCCACGGCGACAAGAAAATAAAAATTATCGCAATTGACCAAACATTGACCCACAATTCCCACAAATTAACACACAAATCAACACAGTAATTAATGCGAACGATAAAACAACACACAAAAAATAAAGAATAATAATAATCAGAATGATAATGCAGCTGATGGCTGCTGCGTGTCGCGCCGTAGGGAAAAATCTAATTTCTCCTCAAACGGAGACAACGGAGACAACTAAACAAAAACCACGCGAGCACTCACGGAAAAAATAACGTTCACCGTTACACGTAAACCTTGTAGATTAGATGAATAATCCCCAATGAAAACGGCGGCAACGGCAGGGCTGGGCCAACCCCAGCATGCGCCAACAATAATCACAAAAAAAAAAACAAATCAGAAAGACTAAATAATAGTTTGGGCTCTGAGAGCGTAAGAATACGGGTACTATCAAATATGTCTCAACGAAGAGTGAGGTCCTCGGCGAAAACTTCACCCTCGGATTTCATTCCTCCACCCCATTCCACCAAATTTACGCGAAGATGCCCGCGTAGAATTCGAATAATTAAAATCATTCATTGTTTCATTTATTGGTCCCATCAAACTGGCCTTATGGACGGTGCTGTAGATCCGCGTGGTTCAGCGCAAGAAGCAACATAATCCGTTGCTCCCTCGATGCTGCGGCCGCTGTTTTTTAGCACGCGGCCTTGCGCCAATATGATGAGGGTGAGGCAGTGGGGGTACGAGTGCAGAAGCCGTACTGGCTGGCGCTCATGAATTCCTCCGCTCTTCCGCTGTGTGTACCTTCAGGTTCTCGGGTGTGTCCGTTGGTGATTCGTCGGTGACCGCTCCAGTGCTGTTCTTCGACTGCTCCCCTCGTGCTCCCCTCGCCGCGAAGCTCGATGCGCATACGCAGTGAGCGGTATTTCCCCCGTTCGTTAGAATTAGGGGAAAAAGAAAATAAACAAAAAAAAGCCAAAAATATTTATGTAAATAGTGGCCCTGGGTGATCCTACTCCTCGTTGCGCTCGGATACTAATTTCCCTCCCTTGAATCGCGGTCAGTTCAGGTGAGGACAGTGCATGACATTTGTCATGTCACAGTGTACATATCATTCTCGTATATATTCATTTCCTTGATATATAGAGGAGCCCTCTACTAAAGGATCGTAATACTCAGATGTACAGACATGCGTCTGAATATAATTAATAAGAATGACTACATGACAAAGTGACGACAAAAACTGTCAATAAGTCAATAAGAAATTATATTATTAATTGTCCTCAAATTTTTGGAGGATTATACGTAGCGTAGTGAAGAAGGAATAAACAGCTGATATACAGGGTGTTTCAGAAGTACATGTACATCTGAACACCCTAGGATCAGGGGGTGATTCTAAGCAGAAAAGTCCTCTTGCACTTTTTGATCAGACTCACCCCTAAAAAGTTATTGGCAATTAAGGGTGGGCCAATGGGGAGTGATTTTTAAGCGGGCGCACATCCATGTGATATGCAGCATATGTGTGTGTGCCCGCCCCACCATTCTACGAGACAAAAGAGCGCAACGATATTGCTCTC